GTAAAAATACACTCAATGCGGACCTAGTATGATAGAGCAACTAGTAGCTAGGGAGCTACAAGGAACAATAAAGGGCGTGAACTGAATCAGATCTAAAACAAAAGCCATCAAAATGAGTCATACAGATAGGAAGCTTATTCTGTATACGGATGGAATATAACAAAATACATGAAATAAATTATAATATATATAAATATAGGCCTATAATAAAAAAAATCTGCTGTAAATAACATATCATAATCTAAAAGCTGTGAAACTAACATTAATGCCAGCAGGATGTAACGTACCTAATTTATAGATGATTCTCTGTTCTAATTCTTTCCTAGAGAAATCAGATCCTTTACATAAACTAACACCAGTAATTTGTATATGTGTAGAACTTATTATAAAAAAAGTCCTACTTAACTAGGCTGGTACAGCCGGCTTGCCCTAGCTGTTGCAGCCCTAGGGCCTAATCTACTAGTAGTACTACAAGGCCTAGCCTAGTGCGGTGGTGTACGCAGTAGTAGCTCTACCTCTTAGGGCCTATTAAATCTTTTCTCACCAAGTATATCATTATGTGTAAAAGATTGTGTCATCATCGGCTTGCTGTCTTCATATCGAAGCGGTATACCGGTGTAGTTCGGATTCAAAGCTTTATTTGATCGTAGTTTTGCGTTCATTTTAATGCCAAAATCGAGGACTTTTTAATGGCCTGGCGATCTACAGGACACTGATGAAGTAAACAAACGTGACAAAATCACTGACGTGTAACTATTGTCATAGCGACTACAACAAGCGTTTTCCTCATTTGCATTGGCCGAGACAGAAAGTGGATCGCGCTTTGTTTACGTTTCTGTAGTAACGATCTATGAGGGCGCTTGTCACTATTTACAAAATGTTGACGATGATTGGTGAGGTTGAGGCGCCAAGGCCCTAACAATGTCAATAATATTAATATAAATACCTAGTAAATTATGACTATGTTATGGGAACTGGGCTCTCAGTAACTAACAAAAGCAGTGCATTCAAATTCAGGTTAGTATTATATAGCATTAATAATAAAATACTGTTCTGTGCTGTAGCCCTTGTATATATAACGGTGAGCATCGCATAAATAAATGCTGTGCCTGGCTGGCTGATCAGTGATTATGTTGCAGTGGCTCTCTAGCTAGCTCCTCCTCCTCTCCACAGTGCTACGCCTAGGCCTGCCTAAATTCGTTAATGTTATTATATTTTATTTAACTTTTCAGGGGACGATGAACAGGCCTGGACCAACACATGATAAACTCATCCATCCTCAACTGTTTGCTTGTGCGAACAGAGTTAAAATACCACAAGTTGGAGATGACGGAAGAAATTTCAAAACATTCTACCTTGAACAAACCATTCCTCGTCAATTTCTGCAGCCAGTAGAGACATACAATAAGAAATATATTAAAAAGATTAGTGCTGATTTGTTGTTTAGTGAAGATGTTGTCCGTTGTCATGCTTCGCACACACTTCCATATGATAAGGATGATATGTGGAAGTCATTTGACCCCTCAAACATTGTCCAAAGGGAACCGGTCAAAGTCTCTGGGGTCATGGGAAGGTACAACCACCGTGGCTCAGAAAAGAAACATCTACCATGCCACATAAAAACAGTGTCAAAACATAGATTAAAACCTCTAAAAAAGAAAGCTAAACTGCCAAAGCCTGCTGACAACCAAGAAATAAAAGATGATGAAGGCAAGAAGGGAGTAGACGGACCTCAAGATGCTAATGTATCACAGAAATTGAGAGCGGCAACATTCCTAACACAAAATGACGGTGATGATATAGAAGAAGCAGATGCTGAAAATCAACAGAATAAATCTGATAGGAAATCAACTACCAAATGGGATGAGCATCTGTTGGTAAGTCTGAGCAAGAACACTGCGCGGTGGATTGTAAATGAGCGCCTGAACGAGGGACCACAACAGGATAAGTTAAAGAGGTTGCTGAACGATTTATATGGTGAATCAGGCCACACAGTTGATACATTGATCCGAGATGATGCTAGCATGAGCGATCTTGCCAGTTCAGAAGGTACAGATTTACCATCTCGCCATTTGCGTCGGAAACCATCACAGCATGCATCCTCAACTGTATCTCCGCAAGCAAAAGATTCAACGAAAAAGAATGATGATGAGGACGACATTAATTCCCACTCTTTAGCCTCATTTTATCGTCTTCCTGGTGGTGTTCGAAGAGTGCAACGGCACCTACAAAAGGAATTAGCAGGTCAGTAACAGGGACGGATCCAGAGACGTCCAAAACGGGGGGACCGAAAGTTGGGCCGATTGAGACAACACTATCCTAGGGGGTCCGGGGCATTCCCCCACGAAATTTTTGTGTTCTAGACGCCTTAAAATAACATTTGAGGCGTTCTGGACTATCATTTTTTTCTTTTTCATTCTTTTTTTCTTTTTTTAACTTCCCAAAAGGGGGGTGGGCCCTAAATCTGCTCCTGAGTAAGATGGTTGCCATGTAAAGTTTATAAAAACAGTGGTAGTTTGTTTAACCCTAAGAAATGTTGGTCTTTACTTTTTCAGGTGCCATCAATACAACCGCAAGAGATATTTGCGTCCCTCAAAAGAAACCAAAACCACCACCTACGTTGAAGGATGTTATGAATGACGGTGTTGGTAACAAGATGTATGAAACCGATAATCAGTTTGAGCAGGAATGGTTGTCAGGTAATTATAGCAGACATTGGTGTTAGAATGGTGTGGGGTTTGCTCCCCAAAGCACTTCCCCCTTCACCCAAAAAAAAAAACTTGTTCCCCCCTCCAACCATGAGGTATCTTTTTACTTAACTTTAGTGTAATTTTTTTTTTTTTTTTAGTTTTTTTCAGTAAGAGATATCTGGCTATGGATACCATTCCCTATGTATCTTTAGTGCAACTAAATGTCATTGTGTAATGTGTAATCATTTATATGGCCCCCACCTCAACTTTAGACCTCCTTTTACTAGTCTCTATTGCCAGTATGGCAAACTAGTGTCATTTTGCATTAATAATAGCTCTTGTAATAGCTACAGTAGTAACATTGTTGAAATTTTCACCCCTCTTCAAACAGGTGCACAGTTAGTGCCAAGGAAAGACAGTTCTATTTTAACATTTGACACCGGTAACAAATACAGGATGGTGAAACAAGAGAACTACCCAGCAGATCCTAAGCATTGGCACTCAAGTGATAAAACCAAGAAAGCCAAAGAAGGCAATAAAGCAGGCAAAGAGAAACTACCTCACAAAGGTTACAGAAAATGGAGTAATTTGCCTCAACCAGTTGAGGTAGGCCATTATTTCAGAATTTAAAAAATGATTTTGGAAAATAATGTTATGATCATGAAATCCATTCCAATCCCAGGGACCTGTTGACGCCAGTGTTTTAAAGTAATGTATAAACAATATTAATGTCTTCATGTTTAAATTTTTTTTTCTGTAGAACGAAGCATCTTTGTCAATACACGAGGCAGGTTACGATGCTGAGGCACACCGTGAGCCAGACCCAATTACCATGAAACAACATAGGAGTAATGTCACCCTCATTAGAGTTGGTGAGAGTCATTGTTTTAACTATTCATGGAAAAATTTCTTTATTCATTGACATAGCTACAGGACAAAGACACCAACTTGTACAGTTTTTGTATGTGTTTGATTATGTCCACAAATCACATCTGTGAAAAAAATGTTCACAAATCAGGAGTTGAAATTAATTTTTTGACTTGCGCTTTTAAATGTTATACATAAACGGTGTCTTTATTTTTAAAAATTAAACATCAAAATCATTTAATGACAACCGATGCTGAATCGGCCTATGCAGAAGCTCACATTACAAAAAGATTACACTACCTGTTTACACAATAATAAAAGGCATCGTTACAGTTAAAGAAAAAAATGATGTAATAAGGAATTGATTTTATTAAATGGTGTTTTAATGGAAAATGTATTTTTAATCATATATTTTCAGATTTGTCTGTCAGATTCAACAGACAATCTTCGATCAAACTTTTTCTGTTAAAAACTTTATTCCAGTGTTAACAGATAGGCTCCAAGTGGGAGCATGTATCTGCGGCTTGACGTAGTTTTTTTTGGAATACTTTCTATGAAGATAATCGATTATTGTAAAATTCCAACTTTGAACTCTCAAACTTACAAGTGAGCCAATAACTAAATGTCTGCAGGCCCCACAGGGCAGTTTGACCAGATAAAAAACAGTGTGATCATCTGCAGGCCTAAGTCTGATAGCATATTAAAATTACATTATACTTGGCTTTATTAGGTTTAATTTGCCCATCAGACAGTGAACAACGATGACAAACAAGCAAATTTTAAGTTTAAAATGTATTTTGCAAATTATTGTTTTATTCTAGTTGATGAATGGCGCAATAAATGGCATCTTGGTAACAAGTGGTATGACAGTTCCATAGATGAGTTAGAGCGTGATATGTCAGACATCAACGAGCATGTGAGATTGCAAGCAATAGCAACGATTGCCAGGGCTGCCACATATAGGCCAGCAGCAAATCCTGGAGTGCCCCTAAAAAGTAAGTTAAACATAAATGCTTATCCTATTATGATTCATAGCCTTTGAGGACATTCTAATAGAGGTAGTTTCTGAAACCCCAGGAAAAACCAAAACTTTCTATATTCCTCACCACCTCCTCCACATTTCTTTCAACCCACATACTAAAATTGACAATCTGTCAATTCCAGTCATGGAGATTAGTGATGTTCATGGGCAAAGTCCTGGTTGGTGTCAGGTAATTTGTTGCTAAGATGCTTTAGAACAAATTATGCCCCAAGTCCAGTTTGGTTGAGGGGAGGAGTTGAGTTTGGCCTGCCTGATGTTGCTTAAGCCCCTGCCTTCTTACTAGCGTTGACACTGAAACCTACTAAAGCTACTACATTTTTTATCAAAGATGTCACACAAAACGAAAAAAAAAAAATCCTGCAGCTGTGAATCTTTTGACTTTGTTTTTGTTAATACTTGTATTTTTTTGGGAGTTAATTTCTAGTGTTTTTTTTTTTATCAAAATATAAACTAAAAGGCTCATTTTCATTAATACAGTAAATTTCTTGTAATAACATTACTTTTTATATTTATATATTTTTAATCTTTTTAATATATTTCTGTTGTTTTGTAGAAGTTTTCGGTACATAATTTTCATCAAATATCATTGTTTCTTTTATAAGTCCCGTATTTAATATGTAAATTTCTATTTTGTTTTGCCTTTGTTGTTTTCCAATTCTGCCTTTGCCTAAATACTAGGCCAGATCATGAAATGGAGAGGGACAACAACCAGTATGATGATTGGTCTAGCAGGTACAGCTAACAGATTGATGTGTGCATGTGATGATAATATTATCCCACTGATAAATCTTAATCCTATAGATTACTACAGCACTAACGTCATAACACTATTTAACACCACTTTGTTACTAACAGTGGAGTATCTAAGAGGAAAGTGTTAGAGAAGCTAGCATGCCCCTAGAAAAAGTTTATGTGCCTGCAGTATTCTTAAAATCTGCTAACTTCAAACCCAAGCTGCAGCAGTCTTAAGACTCCTTCCCAGGGACACTCTGGCTTTGTCATGGTTTGGTAGTAGTTGCTCAGCAATGAAACGGTGTCACTGTCACATGGTATCGTGGCGTAAAAACATTTTGTTTATTAATAATCAACTATTAATGACTAATCCAGAAAAATGGCCACAATATTATTAATTTATATCCCCAATATCCATTCCCTGGCCCGTATGCCAAGTCCGGCTCGCCAAAAATTTGATCCGGCCTGCCGAACATTGCTAAAAATAAATTATTTTCCAGCCGATTTTTAGAAAAATTTTTTTGTTTAAAGAAACACCACCTAGGTATCCCTACTCTAGCAATGTTTACAAGAGTGTGACTTTTTCTGAGTGTAGCTCATTTTATCTAGTGGCGTAGTGTATTGGCATGGGGAGGAGTAGACTAATGGGGAAAATGGATTAATTGGCGCGCTGATATGATGCGATGTCTAGCCATTTGCGGCACCAGCAGACTCGGGGCATGTTATTCTGTTGAAAACACTGCTTTGAAAACTTTCCAGGAATGTAGAGGTATCTATGTTAAAATGTACTAACCTCAACCCCAACCACTGGTGAGAGGGGATATTTTTGTGGTAGGAAAATTTCTGGTGGCAGGGTAGAAGAACCGGAGGGCAGCTTAAAAAGGTTGAATACCTGGGTTTTATATAATCCAGAAGGAAATGGTTTGTAAACAACTGTACAACATCCATGTATGTTACCAAGTCTGATGTCATGCATGAGATTTGGTTATGATAAAATTCAGTTGATTTATGAGGGTGGAGGAAACGTGTAGTGAGGAGGCATTGAAATGGATGTCTCAATATAATATGATAATGCACAGTGACATTTTCATTGTCAAAATAAAGTGGCTTGGTGGTGGGGGGATACTGGTGGTTATGCCACAGGTTTCAAATAAATAGAACACTTTATCTACTAATCAACTATTTTAACATTGGTGTAAGTACTACTTGAATAATAATTGCATCAAAAATTGTTTTAAAATACTACTTGTTTTCTTTTCATTGATTTCTTTTAATAAAGTGATATATCAAAAGATCCTTTTAAATTTTTTTTCAATGGCCTACTGTAATTCAACTTAAATAATAGATAAGCTTGCTTGTTTGTTTTTTTTTTTTTTTTCCTTGTCAGATTAAAGTAAATTTAGATAGGTAGTCATTTAGAATTCTTGTGGTAAAAATCTGTATGAATCAACGAAGTGTAATGTTCTCAATTTGTTTAATTTAAAAGTTGTGAACTTTGTTATACTGAATGTCTTGTGTTGTAAACCTTGTTTTGTTGTGTTTTAATACCATCATCAGATTTGCAACAGTACCAATTTGCACTTTAAATTATTTCTAGGTACCTTTAAGAAAACTGGTAGTGAAGATGGCAACAAGCCAGGAAGTGCTGAGGGCGTTTTACCTGATAAGCTCTATAACTGTGTTCTGAAAGCACTAAATGACTCCAGTGTTAGAGTTCGAGTTACAGCAGCAATGGCCTTATACACACTCAATAGGCCAAACGAAGAGGTGATATATAAATTTAATCAACGTACAAAGCCATGTTTTAAATATTTGTTTGAAACTTAATACTATATATTTTTGCTTCAATTATTTTACTGCAATTTTCAGGATAGTTTATTATATTAGTTTATTTACATCCATGCCCTATCATCTAATAAAATTAAAATTTCAGGCTGCCATAATTTATTCAAGAAATATTTAATTCGACATTAACTAGTCTGTTCTTCATCTATTTTCTTTAAAAATGCTTTGCCACAGCCCCCATATGAGGATGTAAGTATTTGATGTAAACACTTTTGTATGCATGCAATGTATTTAATTTACACCATGTACCTAATAGAGCTGAGTAAGTATACTCTTGCAGTTTGTAATGTATGTGATTAACAAATTTCAGGTGTTTTGAGTTTTGAGCATTTTCAGAAGATTGGCAGGGGCGGATCCAGAGATGTCCAAAAGGGGGGGGGGCCGAAGTTTGGGCCGATCGAGACAACAATGTCCTGGGGGGTCCAGGGGCATGCCCCCGCGAAATTCTTGTGGCCTAGACGCCCGAAAATAACATTTGAGATGTTGTGGGCTATCATTTTTTTTTTTTTTTAAATCCACCCCTGATTGGTTAAATGAGCTTTCTTAATAACACATCTAACCTAATTTTGCATTTCGTCATCAACTGATTTCCAAGAGAAAGTATTTTCAGTCGCAAAAACATTAAAATCACTACACTGTCACTACAGTGTATTCATTGCCATCCCTGTACTGTATCCCCCAATACGACCAACCAACCACCGTCACCGAAAGCTGTTGGCGATATCGTGTAGCGATTGTATGGAAACCAAGCTTAATATCATGAATTTGCGAGAGGTGGGTTAGTTTCCAGGAGATACTTAATTGCTCAAGGGAGTGCGGGAGACCATCTTCATTTTCGGGAGACTGCCGGGACTTGCGGGATACTGTACATGGGAACCCTGAGATTTGTTTGCACTATTATTTGATTGATTTATTGATTGCATAATAGATTGATTACTAAATAATTATATTGTATTATAATGTATTAAATTGATGTTGCATCAATTATATAAACTTCTAACATTTAAACCTCTGCAACAGCAAGAACATAACTTGCATGAATACATTTCAAGGGTAGATCTAACAACTAATTGAGTGGAGTTGAATAGCTTGGTGGTTAAGTGCTTGCTTTCCAATCACAGGGTCCTGGGTTCAATTCCTGTCACTGTAACAGGGTTTTTTTCTCATGACCAAAACAACCCCCACTCCCTAGCCTCATTTTGTGTATAATATGTTTGTCTTGTGAGGGAATTGCCTTTTGAAAAGTGATTAAGTTGACTGTTTGGCATATCTTTGGCCTTAGTACCTAAAGCGGAATAACAGCTAAAATAAAAAAATATAATAACATAAAAAGTCAGATGTGACATGATCATTTTCATTTGCACTTTATAATAAGCTTCATCAACCAGAATCAATTTATTCATCTTCATCAGGCTCACTGACTTATAAATCAATTATTTTCAAGTTATTTTGGACCCTATAGAATTTAGAAACTTAGGAGCCATTATTTCATACAATTTATCAGGAAATAATGGATTCTTCAGCCACTATTTTCTATAAAGTCCTCAGAACTTGACTCTATTACATAATAATGATAATCTTTAAAATTATTTTGCACTTGATTTTGTCTGGCTTTTATCACTGTTGTTTGAATGATGTGCCAAAGTTATGTTTGATCTGTACTATATGTTATGATGTGGTGTCTGAAAACAAACTGTTCATTATACCATTTATACATAATAACAGAATATATGTAAAATATACAATCATTTACTTTACTATATAATAATAGTTTGTCAAATCGATGAAAAAAAAAATATTTTGTTCAATTGCTTTTAATTGTTTTCCTTTCATTAATTCCAGGCCAGAAAAACGCTTCATGATATCATCCGTGTTGGGAGTCCTCCAGAGCGTTGGGCTGCAGCTCAGTGCCTAGCCCACTCAGGTGTTTGTGATTCGTTTGTGGTCGGAGAGCTTGTGAAGCAGTTTTTTGACAGCTCGGAGCATGTTAAACTGGAGCAGTGTGTGAACTTGCTGTCAAAGTTAAGTGAGAACTCAACACTTGTTCATTCAATGATCGCGGAACAGTTGAACAGTACGAGTTGGCAACATCGTATGATGGCATGCAAGATTTTGCCTAAACTTCATGGTCTTGTAAATAAGGTGATTAGTTTCTACAACTAGTGTTATTCTTTTTCTACAAAGTCATATTTATACATTATTATATTTATATAGCTTACAGTATTTATACCAGTAGGGGGTTCAGGAGGAGGGGGTGGGCAGCAAACCTGGACACTCCCCCTTCCTAAATTTTTCAAAATCATAAATATAATAGAAAAAAATAGAAAAGTTAAAATTAAATTTATGTCTGAGAGTGCCATAATCATAAATTTTCTTACCTCAGCTCGAACCAGGGTGGCACTAAGGTGGTCTATTCTCTCCGTCGGTGAAAATCTCTCCCTGGGCCCCCTCTATTTCAAATTTCTGGATCCGCCACTGCTGACTTCTCAAGCATGCTCTTTTATTTTTATGTGATTTTGAAAAGTTTTTATTGAATATTTATTCTAACCATTAAAATAATTAATTGGAAATTTATACATTTAAATGAAATTTTTGATTGATTGATTTTATTGAATATTTATTCTAACCATTAAAATAATTAATTGGAAATTTATACATTTAAATGAAATTTTTGATTGATTGATTAATTTATTTATTTTAGGATATTATGCATAAATTAGCAAACCTAATGTGGCATGACTGGCACCATCAAGTCAGACGTGTTGCCGCACAGACACTTGGTAAAACAGGGCACGGCAAGGAGGTTCACAACGACCTTCATGATCGCATCCTGACAGGAACTGAGAGGGACAAAGTAGATGCATTGCATAAGATTGCTCATCTAGGTAATTTCAGATACATATTCATATAATAGAGATTACAATTTAAAGGGAAAAAATGAATAGTTGAGTGGTTGATTGATTATTTGATTAATTGATTGATTGATTATATGATTAATTGGTTGGTTAATTGATTTAGATTAATGGATATTACAATTTCTAGAAGTGTCAAATAATTGATCGTTTGATCGATTGATTGGTTGATAGATTGATTCATTAGTGATTGGTTAATTGATTGATGAATTTATCACTAGTTATTGTCTTGACTTGACTGCTTAATTGATTGATTGATATCAAATAATTGATCATCTTTAGCATACCACACTGTTTTCCTTATACCATAATGATTGATTAACTAGTTGATTGTGCAGTCATCTTTATCTTCTCAGGCATAATGACTGCTCGTCTTCTGCCGGCATACCTACAATGTTTTGATGACAGCTACATATCGGTACGTCTGTCTGCTGCGAAGACGGCTGGTATTCTAGTAATTAATGATGAAAAAGTTCTCAGGAAGTTACTCTTTATGACCCAGTTTGACACCAATTGGAAGGTCAAAGCCCATGCTATCCAAGGTAGGCTACAGTATATATCAAGGATTCACTTGAGTTTATTGACATTCTTGTATTTTGCACCATGTATGAGGATTTTCAATGAGGCAGTTTATAACATGGTAGTAAATACATGGAAACAAAACATTCTTTCAATTGTCAAAGATGGATCAGCTTCCAGGAGATTTTGCTTGGTTTTTAGGAGTACATGCAAAAGACCATGCTGATTTCCAGATTTCCCAATTCGTGGGATACTTGTAAACCCCTGTTATATTTCAGTCATTTTCTTTTGTCATGATTAATATATTTAACATCAGATTACAAATCCATATGATTCTCTATGAAGTCTCGTTATGAGGCACCTAACTTTTGAAATGATTTGAACCCAGTAATCCGATTAGAATTAAAGCACTTTACAGTTTCGTTGAATAAGTTTGCCTGTATTATTTATTTTGTGATATACATCATCATTGTATGTGTGTTTATTTATTATTTTCCTTCTGTTTTACTTTTTTCAATGTAGTTTAATCAACTAGTTTTATTGAGTTATGATTTGATCACTATCCGTAATGATTAACTGTTGGCGAGTCAACTGAGGGGTTAATGTACGGGTGCCGCAACCACAGCCATCTCGTCTAACAGTTCTAGTGGTTGAACAAGTCATCTTGTTGACGAATAACGGCGCTATACAAATGTACACTATTATTTTCTAAATTGTATTTATATGACTGTATTTTCTTGACTTCAGCTCTTGGATTGATTGGTAAAGTTACAACTCCTATCCGTGATGCCATCATCTGGGCTTTAAGATTTGAAACTGAGGCTGGTGTACGTGCCGAGGCCTGCTCTGCAGTCATAAGCCTCAAGATTACTGGAAATGATATCTCATATATACTGCAAGATAAACTGCTAGTCGAGCCAGACCAGTTGGTCAGGAGGTACGTCTGGATTATTTTTCGGGAGATTCTTTCTTGCTCACTGGAGTGCAAAAGGCATCCATGATTTCCCCCGACTTGCGACCCCTAGGATTTGCTCATTGTTATCATTTTTCAAACTGATTCATGTTTAGATTACAATTTAAAGTTTCCCTTTCTCATCTATGTTATTACCTTTTAAGCCACAAACTGCATTCAACATAGATTGATGTAATTAATTTAGCCTCATAAATGGTAAATATACTGTATATTTTTCTTTTTCTTTTTTTTAGAAAAGGGTTGGGAAGAGTCCACTTCACCACCCCCTTCATCCACTACCAAATCTCTATTTACTCTCATTCTGTATCTTTGCAGTCAAATCATTTTAGCATTGGAGTCAATGGGAGTGAGTTCGCAAGGCGACATGGACATGGTGCAACAGATTAAAGAAGAGGTTCGTCGACTATGTACCCGTTACAATATAGCATCCAAAATAGCTCAAAATGAAAAGCAGGAGGATGCCGACTTGTACATCGATAAGTATTTCAACGTTCCTCAGTCGCCAGAACCAGTAAGTCAACTTCAATGTCCTGTAGAATATTGATAATTTTACATTTTTATTATTATACATTTGTACTTATTTATGTTTTTTTTAATTTTTTTTTATTTTATCAAAGTTTGGGCATACGAGTAAAATTTCAAATCATTTTCAATATACTTAACATAAAAATGAACAACTGCTACAGCAGGTCAGACATATATATATTTCCTATGATAACACACACTCAATGGACATTTCCACATACTGTAGTTGCCAACTTTTCCCCAAAAAAATCTGTGAGAACTCGCGTTACGCCACTCGTTTGGGGCATTTTCACTACTGATTTGATTGTTCTTGGACACTAAATTAAGTCAAGTGTATGTATGTAAACTTAATAAAACCAAGTTATACTCAATTTGACCAAAGTACAGTACTATAAACTTAGGATGAGTAGTACCCAACGGTTGCTTGGTGTAAAATTAAAACATTTTTAACAGACTCATGTTATTTATGAATCATGATGTACAGACAGTACTGGAAAACAGATAAACAAACAAACAAACAAACCATCCGCGGTGGGAAACTTGGTAATAAAAGCACACCAACGGCAGCGGGCGTAAAGGGCGTCATTTGTTTACGATTCTAACGTCGAGCATGCTGGGCTTGCACTATAGCCTAGGCTTACTCTTAGCTACACTATAAACACTACAGACAAATGGCACATTATTTATTCATTGCATATTACTATATATGCCGTTTGCAAATCATTTATTAGTCGAAAAATCTTGATCCGTGAGGAACCTTGAAATTCGTGATTTTTTGTTCATGCGTAGTAAAACTGGCAAATGATAAATTATCCACGGTCAATCCGTATAAGTTGGCATCTGTGTTTCCATTGTGTCAGTCAAACAATAATTGACAAATCAGAGCAAGGCCAGGTATGCATGCTCCTCCTGTAAGCATGTGTTGTAACGCACATATTTGGGTATGTTTTATTCAAGGGGTGAGCTTAGCAAAAATGTCCTTGCCTATCTGATAAATTCTGTCAAGTATCAATGTAGAAGTAAATGTTCAAAGCATTGTAGACACCCATGTATTTTCAAGTTGTTTAAAGTATTAAAATATAAAATAATACTGTATATGCAAAAATGAATGTAATCATACTCTTTTTTTTTCAGTATTTTGAAGATGATGACATGGTAACATCAGAGAAGACAAAAGCAGCAGCAAGCATCAGCCGTCCATCCACCAGACACAGTGTTCGGACCACAACGCCAAGCATCGTTGTCAGTCTTGACGATGATTTTAAAAATGGAAGCCCAGACATGTCTTTGTTCAGGAACCATGAAAATACAGGTGGCCTCTCTGTATCCCCAACAGGAAGCTGGGAGTCATCACCACAAGACAGGAGAACACCAGAAGAAAAGCTTGAGAAGCTGATTGACCTCTATGAAGGAACATGTACATTAGATGAGTATAAAGAATTTGCTCATCCAAAAGAGACTGCCGATAGAACGGATGATGGTAGAGTCTCGAGAATTAACGTAGAGGTACTGCCGATGATCCCAGAGAGTGAAGCAGAAGAGAAAAACACTCAAAGAGAAGATGGAAATAAACCAGGAGAGGATGATCCAATGGATGAAGAGGTGGCACTAAGAAACGAAAGTGGAACCTCCAACAGTACAATTGGACAATCGGTGTCTGTAGCTGACCCGCTTGAGAGCAGGTCAGGTCAAACAGAGTATTCTTTATCTAGGAACGAACTGAGGACCGAGGATGTGGAAGAAGGGGGCATACGGCCATCTACTGTCAGGTCAGACCTGACATCTAATGTTGAGTCAGTGGATATTGAGCAATTTGAAGAAGCCATTGAAGCCATCAAAGGTGCTCAGTGTGCAGAGGAGGAGATGAATGAAAGAATTGTTGACACTGGTGATAATTACCTCAGAAGTGTATCACCTGTTGAAAGTAAAGAGCTATCGGAGGCTGACAATTCACAATATGATTCAGAATCGTCAGATGACTAAAGTAAAGTAAATGTTATTTTGAAAGTGTGGTATAGCTTTTAGCCTCAGAATTTATATTTTATAACAAATTTTATTTATGCAATACAGTAGTTTTTCTTTCTCTCTAGTGGAATCATCTCGTCCTATTTTTTTGTAATTATGTGGTGCTCCAAAAAGCAACGTTCTTCCCAGATTAAATATACCAAAAAACCTTCAAATTTGAATCATTCTTTCTTCTATTGACTTAAGAATAAACTAAATAATTAGCCAGGTTTGAGATGTATTTTCGTATGATTTAAATGTCCAAATTGAGATAGTGCTTGATTTCACTTCATTAGGGTATAAGGTAAAGGAAGTGTTAGGAAACAATTTCATTATTCCTGTAACCATGGTAACAGCTAAAATCCAAAATGGCCACAAATCCACACTGAAAATAGCCATAAATTATGTACTTTTCGTCTTGAATTATCAATTTTTGTCTCTCACTTTATGTTTTATAACGCTTTAAAGGCTTCATGGTTGAACAGGTCCAAATAACCCCAGATAAATCCGGCAATACGGCTAGAAATACTGTTGTATTATATATGTATTACTGTATTATATATGATATTAAAGGGATATTTAACAGTGTTAACTGCTTACTCCCTTTATATATGTATTACTGTATTATATATGATATTAAAGGGATATTTCATTCATATTAATAATTGCAATTATAACAATAATATTTTATTACTTTTTGCCTTTTTGTCAATTTGTAAATTTTACCACAGTGTTTTTCTTTCCAACAAATCAATATAAAAATTAATCAATTATTTTTCTTCTCATGCCTTGGAATAGTTCGGTTGATAGATGGCATGTAATAAGTGCTGTTTTATTATTGTTATTATTATTATTATTATTAATAAGTAGAACATATTGCAAACAGTACGTACAATTCCTTTTATCTTGTTCATTAATCTCTTTGCTTGCAAAGCATCATGAGCACCTTGTGAGGCATTGTAATACTTGTTTTGTGTTTCTAAAGAAGATGCATGTATCTAAATAGAGTGAGAAAAACCAAAAAGCGAACTTAATCAACTGTTAAGTGGATTTCCCCAGTAATTAAAGTTCTTAAGTCATTAATTTCTTATGTAATAGTAGCTTCAATTTGTGGTTTATAAATAATGAAACCAATTTTGGAAAAAGGTAAAAGGAGGTACCAGGCTGCCGCTTAAAAAGTGTCACTAATAGTCCGCTTTAAAAAGAGAATGGATCGATCATGATATAAATAGAGCACATTTATGTATGTTTTTAATCCAAGTGAAAGAATTAATCACAGGTTGTGGGTCTTACCATGGTGGCAAGTTGTTTGCGAAAGTGTGTACAATTAACACTTTTTCCTAGTCGCACACCTAAATGGTGCCATAACCTAGTTAGGTCCTGGCATGGTTTTTTTTCAAATGATTATTAGTAAAAATACTGACTACTGCCCTTATCGGAGCTTTCGTGATTACGAGACCGTGTTGTATTATGGGGCTATATGAAATATGTAAAACCATGTAATATTGATTTTTTTTTGTGAACACTTTAGAAAAAAAAGTTTGTAAGCATAGTTGAAAATTTGCATCTGCTTTAAAAGTTTATTTCAAGTTAATTGTACTTTAGTTATTTACAATTGATTTATTGTAGTTTTGTCTAAATTGTATTATAAATGTTGTGTTACATATCCATCACCTACTTACAAAACATAAAATATACAAAAATCTGCTTCAAGCATTGCATTCAGGGGCGGATCAGTGGTTGGGCAGGACGATTTTATAAAATATTGATGATATTCTTCATGTTTTGTTACTTACGGTCACACACCATTTACTTTGAATTTTCTGGGCGTTGTTGAATTCCTGGGTTGTCATATTCGTAATGACTCCTGACCTGCAGGCATTGCAAATGCAAATTAGTGATATAACGTAGCCGCGGAAGTTTCTTAATTGCTAAGGCATACATCATTTCTTAGCTTTTCTGGAAAAAAAAAATTTATTTATTGATTTGTTTTTATGTGAAACTAGGCATTTAAGAAAATTAGTTCATTCCAATTGGGTGTGTACTACTGTACACCCAGGAATTTGTTATAGCTGTTGTTACATGATGACAGCTCCTGCTACAACATTAGTAGATCACTAAAACGTCTGTTTGTCTAATCATTAATCCATCTTCTCAACCCATATATCTCATATCGAAAACAGTTTTATGGGGCAAAATCCAATTACTGTTTTATACATTCTAAATCAACTTTGTATGTAAAATGTTGGAAATGAGTAGCTCCATAAAATCTAAATTTAATGTATACCAAATTGTTTTTGATTAGAACTTTTCCCAAACCAGAGAATAAATTATGTTGAATTACAATAGAGTGGGTAAAGAGTTCTTGTTCCTCATGCAAATATAAAACTAATAGGGATAATAACATAAGATATATACAATCATATTAAACATTTGATGTCAGGAAAATCTGGTATCAGATTTCTGATGTGTTTTCTAGTTTTGGAGAATTTTTAACTTTAAGTAGTTTTTTAAATTTTTTATTCTTATTTTCCGAACAACAGGAATGAACCCCTCTCATACATTTTCCACTCAATTTCTCCACCCTTGTCAAAGCCATCAAGTCAGGCTTTTTCCTCCCCTGCTCCTTCAATATAATAATATCAATATTACCCTTTATAGCATTTGCCATTGGTGTGGCTTTGGCCATAAAGTCATGCTCTTCCATGCCTGTGATCATTTCATGTTAATAAATGCTTGTAGCTAATAAATGTTGCATTTTCACAGAATTGTCATGTGAAAAAATATTCTGAATATTTTTGTCTGTTTTGATTGAATTGTAGTAAAACCTGTATATCTATAATAGTGAATACAATCTAATTATGTTTAATTAGATTTATGGTTAATTTATATTTAATTATGATTAATTAGATTAATGTTTAATTTGTTAATTGTAAATAAGGTATCTCACTGCCATAATGAAAAACAGCATTGTATTTGTTGATTTGTGCTTCGTGAATAAATAAAGTTTTACTACTACATTAAAGTAGAATATTTCATCGAACAGGTTATTCCTTTACTGGAATAACAAAATTAAATACTAAATTTCATTAATAGAGTACATATAACATATTTATGTTTACTTAATTTCTGGTATTTTTTATACTAATGTATTAGACAAACACTATAAAGATAATAAACATTATTTAATGTTTTAAAACTTTACTACAAATTTTTAAATTTAAATTTCAATAAAGCTTTGAAGTTAATTGGTGAGTTAAAATCATTTAAAAAAGGCAAACTGTAAACACAGTGATTACTTAAATCTATAATGATTATTAACATACATGCATGTTGTCAAAACAGTTGAATGAATTAAAGGCGTATAATAGCAAGTCACAGTGTAACTTTTCTATTGTAAAGCTGATAAAAACAGGCCCACCCAGCATTGACCACCCCATTGCCCATCCAACTTTAACAATGGTATGTTCCATTTTGGGTGGTTTATGTTGTTCACTTATATGACACTTAAACCAAAAGGTCCACTGATTAATCTCAGATAAGAAAGTATAATACATACTCCAAGCATTGAAATACATGCCATCGTGTTGGGAATCAATATTTCGACATTAATTTTGTCAATCAGGAATGAATGATGATGATATAATTAATGTCAAATATTGAATCCCAACACGATGGCGTGTATTTCAATGCTTGTACTGTAGTACAATGTTCCCGACGGGTATTTGGACCTGTTCAACCATGAAGCCTTCGTGGTCTAGTGGTTATGACGCTCGCCTTGTCAGCGAGAGGTCGCATGTTCGAATCCCGTCGGAGGCATTTTATTACACAAGGATTTTTCATAGGATATTTATTGGTTGAAAAGCTACAGGGTAGCCTACTACGATGTTCCATCATGTCCTTATTAAACACT